AGACAGTTGTCACATGTCTTTACTAAGCCAAAGGTAAAACTACTGTCTGTGCAGCAGCAGCAGCAGAAGTCTCTTTTGGAAATAGGCAAATATTCCCTAGGACTGTAGTTCACGTTCACAAGAGAATGCGAAAAAATAAAGTTTTTGCATGATATTTTGCATGTTTGGAAAAAAGAAAATGTCCGTTGCGGTAAAGCAAAATTTGGAGGGGGTAAAAGATCACATCGGAAATCATTTCAACATGCCCTCTTTTTTTTTTCAAATTAATTTGGCATGTTAGAGAATAGGCGTTATGATTGTAATTTTGCACTGGCAAACTGGCATGGTGAAAATTAAAGCAATGGAGATTTTACTATTTTATTTTGCAAAGAATGTAGTGTTGCTGAAAAAGTACGCAAGGTCTGTCAGCGCTTTATAAAAACGGCTGCGCGCTTCTCTGTATGCAACTGCATATTGTTCTGCCACTGATGAATCAGGGGGCGGTCCGGATCAATGCTCTCATAGATATTAAACAGGATAACATGGTGCCTTGTGAAGAGATCTTTCTAGCTGGGGTATGTGTGCACGTACATAAAAATATGTATGTATATACTGCGTACTGGCCAAGTACTTCGCGAACTGATCTGATCTGAAAGCATTAACAAATGAGGCAGCGTTCTAAATAACATTAATTTCCCCAAAGTCTCAAGCATGAAAACCTGCAACATAATCAAACATAGGCATTGGTAAGAGTCTGTTCGTTTTTACTTTTAGGATACTGATATGGAAAAGAGGATTGAATTTCCTTTGAAATGCTTAGAGGTCTGAGTAATGGAACTTAACGGTGCTTGAATAGTAGAACTATGCAGTTAAGTTCCCAAACTTAAATTAGCAGGACTGTGACAGAAACAAACAGTGAGTTCATGAAATTGCAGTTTGGTGTACGTAAGGAACGTGCTGAACAGAATGCATCTCTGTTGCAACCAGATAATTTAATGGCGTTACCCTGTGGATGAATTATAGTTCAAAATCATCTCTAGGGAAACCATTAAACTGCCCGTTGCAACAGGGATTCATCACAAAGATTATAGCTTCACTATACATATAATGTAACTGGTATTAACAATATGTGTTGGTAGAGCGTTAGTAGAAAAATGCAGAGAACTTTCTTTCAAATGCTAGTCTGCAAAATCATCCATAGTTTTGTACATACAGGTTTGACATATTTTATAAATTGAAAATTACAAGTAAATTTGACTAGGAAAAAATGTGTAATAATCAGGGGAAAAAAGCATTCTTTCATGTATGTTATTGTGGAAACAGAAAGGACATAACATGTCTCTCTGCTGTTGTATATGTTGACTTCTTAGCCACCTAAGGTCACTGTCCTGAAATTTCAGAACCATCCCCTGGTTTGAGAAGCACTTAAAGTGCTATCCTACAATGCAATACGATACTGACATGTTTTAGTGTCTTGGTACGTACATGGTACGGTTGATTAAAAATACTATATTCCTTGGTTTAATACTCCCGATTGTCACTCCTTTTTCAGAACGTTCATTCTGTTAGACATCCTTCTTCAACACAGCGGGTACCCGTGGCACTGTATTTAAAACATGCATTTTTAAGGCATTGTAGTTTAGGTGGACAGTCCATAGAATGTGCAAATTCTTTCAAACTGAAAATAAAATGTTAAGAAGAATTTGCAGCGTTAGTGGACATAAATTAATTTGACTTCGGGGACAAGGGGTCTTGCAGGGGGAGGGGCAGGGGGAAGGTTGTTGAACAGTGTACAGAAAATTAGTCAAATATTTTAAAAATCAGTGTGTTTTGAATAAGAGTTAAAAATGGATAAAGCAAAAATGATATTTTATGATACTAAAAAAAAGTCTCTATCTGTTGCTATTTCACATCTAACAAAATTATTCAAATGTCTTGAATCTAAATTAATGGCTGTAAGATTATTTGACATTGAAAACTTCCTATTTTATGTACTTGTGAGAAAAAAATACCAAGATTTTTTGGGGGGGAAAGAAAAAAGTTTGTCTCTACCTCTCTAATTAATGCTTAGCGTGATAATGGAAGATGATACTTCACACTACAGTCAAAGCTCTCATTGATGTTAGTGGGAATTCGCTTTGGGTGTGCTCAAGAGGTAGGCAGCAAGCAATAGGTTATTATGTTTTACCCTTTTTAAAAATAAATGTAATAAAACAATATTTTAAAAAGCGAACATAAATTGAACCGGTAAAAGTTGCTTATGATAATGAACAGCAATGATTTAATTTTTTCCTTTAAATAGAGTATGTTCCCTTTATCAGAAGGGTAGATAAGTGAGGATTCTGGATTTTTTGTATCCTGCCCCATTTTCATGGATTCTCTCGTTTCCCTCTTTTTCACATCCATCTCCCCTTAAGACCTGGATCACAACCACTGCTCTGCTCCTCGTGGGGGCCTGGGAGCACCTCCCTCTGCAGCACTTCATGGGGGGGCAACTGCACTCAGGTTGTGCTCAGCAACCCTGAGAGCAGCCCCTTTGCAGCTTTCCCAGCTCCTGGTTTTGGTGTCTCAGCCTGCAGAAATACACGCTTCTGACCAAATGCTTAGTTGGAATAAATTGGCAATGACCCACTGGTTCCATGGAGCTACATTAATATGCACCAGTGGAGAAGCTGAACCTTACGCATAAAAGAAGAAAGAATTTGATGGCGTTTGAGAAACGCAACCCTGGCTCCTTGGATCTTGGACCTGTAGGAAAATTACTATGCAGGAGTTGGGTAATCCTTTATTGTTTCATGTGTTACTAGTTTCAGTTTCCATCAATAATGAAAGAAAAGCTGGAAGCTTTGCCTCCCCAAGAAGGGCCACATACACTGTAGCTGCAGCTCCCCCTCGCCTTGCTGTGCGTGGGCCTGGCAGCGGTGGCTGACCTGGACACCGAAGCCCCCGCGCCCCTCTGAGAGGGCCCAGGCTTCCTGGGGAGGATGTTGAAGCCGGCCAATAGAGTGAGTCCCAAAGAAAGCTGTGGCCTACTGACTCTTAAGTTTCAGGTTTTCAGCCAGTTACCAGTGTCAATTTTCAAATCTTACTGACCTGGACCAAATCATAAGCACGGCGAAACGAATTTGTAAACCGACCAATCCAACAATCCCTTCAAATGTTTATAACGCTTATCTGCGCAGACACGCATGTACCGTTACAAAGGATATTCTGTAGTATCATATTACTTAGCCTTTTGATTGATTTCATTTGCAAGGAAACAAACTCACGCTCCTTTGATATGTTTTCTAAAAATAGATATATTTTAATGGTGGATTTTCCTATTAGAGTTAAGTCACAACTATTACCATTTATCTAGTTCTCAAACCTTAAATTTTAGTGATTCTTTTGAGACAGAACCCAACTCAAGTGCCACTGTCTAGGATGTGAATATGAAAAAAAATCTGGTTTAGCTCATTAGTATCTGAAATACTGAAGCTTTATCAGAATCTTGTGTTCAAACTACTGTGCTTTTACTTGGGTTTTTGCATAATGAAGACCACTTGCCGTTCGCTGTTATTTATAATTTTTGAAGTTCTAGTTGGAAGTTTTCACTAGATGGCAGGATTCCATTATCATCTATTATCAGTGGATTTACTTGCAAAGCAACAGTGGCATATCAGTAGGAAAAGTTTTTAAACCTGTTCAAGTTTTGCAAAATATTAAAACAAGCAAAAATCACTAACAGGCAAAAATGATGCATATGCTCAATAAATCACAGCTCTGTTACTGCGTATGATTAGTGTTATAGGCTGAAAATCATTCAAAATTGTAGTGAAAGACATTCTTTACTTGACAGAGGAGCTAAAAGGATCTTCTCTTGTAAGATGAGGTATACTTGCACATACCGTTTCTGCAAAAACCTGTGAAAACATCTGTGGAAAACTAACTGATCCAGTAAGTTGAACGTACCTTACTAATAAGTATATTGACAGCTTTAAAAAGTTAGAGCATAAATAGCCAAACCACTGACCTAACAGAGCATATCAAAATACTAAAAACTTCAGAAAACTAGATGTACTGTATTACCAAAATACAAAAAGATGATCTGCAATTTCATAATCATCTTGTTTCTCTCCTTATTATTTTTTTTTTTTGGCCTAAGATGCATTTTTATCTTTATATGTCCAGTCAACAAGGCAGAATTAATTGTATGGTCATCAGTCCCAATATTGCTTCAGCCAGTGGTAATTTACTGATTCCAGAGCTCTGGACATTTGTCCTCCTTGTCTAGGAAAACAGAATGCAGCTCATACAGTTACATAATCCTTAATAGCTATGACAAATCTTCATTGTTGCGATGGAATGAGCTCTGACTTTTAGCAAAACTACTTTTAAAAGTTTTATTTTTGTAATTTGGGGTTACCAGTACTTGAGGGATGTATTTTTTATTTATTCTAAACTCCTGTTTTGTTTTCATTTTATACATGGAGATAATTTGTAAAGCGTTCAGTAACTTTCAGTGTCGTTCATGAAATACAAGAGGGAATGTGTGGTATCTATTAAGGCTGTTCTTAAGATCAGATAATTTTCCAAAAACAGAGATAACTCAGTGTAATGCTTTCCAGGATTCCCAAAACAGTGAGAACATTTTCTTGCAATAAAGCTGTATTTATTTCACGCCTAGAGTAGAAAAAGTATCATAATAGATGACAAAAAGCATTTCCTAATACGAGATTCAGTTTTGCGATATGCTGCGTGCCTTCGAAAAAAACAGAGCGAATCAAATAGGAGCTGAAAGGCACGTATCACTTCACAATTTCAAACCTTTTACGCTCAAGAAAATATTTGCAATACTTGAAATTTATCAATAGGTAATCGTTCCTTTTTATTAACTACAAACATAATCAGCACCTGTAGAAGCTCTGCAAAACACGTTAGCAAATTCAAACAAGCATCACAGTACGACTCTTTAGACAGACTACTGTCTTCTCTCCTCCTTGTCACAAAACACTGAAAACATCTTTCTCTCATGATCCTACCTTGGCGATTTGCAAAGGCTGCTTTTGCTCCTTGCCACCTTGCAATCTAAAGCCCCAAGGCGCCCCTCCACTCATAGCAATGCAGATATAATCCCCTGTGCCCATTTTCGTGCTGCAGTTAGGCAGTGTTCATATGCAGAAGATGGAAAAGCTGTCTTGCAGCTGTTCGCTGAGCTTGAGATTTGTCTGCCAGGCAGAGCTGGAGACCCAGAGCACCACACTGTTGCTGCTGCTGCGGACTGCGCTGCCTAATGTAGTCATTCACAAGAATGTAAGAGCTCTCGCCGGCGAAGGGCACAGCCCACTCTGTCGTCAGATTTGTACGCTCAGCCCACCTTCGCCCTCAAGTAAGTAACACTGAGGAAACGCACACAAAGAGACTCAGCCATGGGGCAGAAAAGGCTATATTTAAACATGGGGCTCTTGTGGCAGCTAAATCAAAACAACAGCAACAAGTGGTGTAAATCTCCTAGTGATGATTGAACGTGTAAGTTTACTTTAGTAAATGGTGCCAGACATTTTAAACTCTAATTTCCCTGTTTCTTGCACTCATGCTCCAAACAAAGAGGAAAGTGGAATCTTGAGTGAAACATCGTGCAGATCACTGAATAAATGATACACTTAGAGTGAAAGCTAGGTTTAGGATTTTCTTCTCTACCACACATGCACTTTCTGCAGCACTGTAGGTATGCCCTTCTCCCCCCCTCCCCCCCCCCAAGGTTTGTAATATTTTAATTTCCTGATGCTGGAATTGCTTATTTTACTGGCTCTCTCTGGCTCCAGTGTAGTCTAGAGTGCACTGCTATCTAGCAATGGCCTGAATGATTGCTTGACTCTAATAACACCTGCGCTTATGCATCCTCTTGCCTTTCCCACCAGGGAAGGGAAGGGGATTAATGGAAGGAGGTAACAATTCGCTGTACTGATGCTATCAACAGATGATTTGAATTTGCGTCACCAAAGGGGAACCTTACTGTAAGCATGGGGGGAAAAATGATTCAGTGGGAAATTGATTAGCCACTGACTTACAAGACCTGGGTTCAATTACGTTCTTTGTTGCTGACTTTGGGTAACGTAGGCTATAAACAGGTGAGCTCCTGCAGGTCTAGCTGGAGCTTTTACAAAGTGACTGTTCTTTAAAAAGGGATGAATGTTGCCCTAGCTCAGTGTTAATAACTGACAACGTAAGTGCTCGTGCTCTGCCTCAGCACCAAGTCAGTTAAGTCTTGGCTTAAATTACGCTGCGTTTCCAGTGAAGCTGGTTGGAAGGGAGAGTGTTCGGCAGGTAGGCAGAAATGTCTTTAACTGCTGCCTTGGTTCTGGAAGCAAACATCTCTTGGTCTCTCCCATCTCTCCCAGGTCACAGGGGGCAAATGTCAGATTCACACAGCCTAAATTCCACCTAGGTCCCTCTACATAGTGTTTGCAGGTGGCTGGTTCTAGGTCTTAAGAGATGTCAGGACAAGAGGAAACACTTGGCACTTTAGCTAAGAGAATTTGTAGCCAAGTACCGAGTAACTTCTGAGGGTTTAAACCTAAGCCTGTGTCTCTGTCAATGCAATGTCCGTAGAGTGATGCTTCCCTAAGCTACAGAAATGTTCTTTAAAGACCATTAGGCAAAACATCGGAGTAGGGACAGGATCGTCTGTTAGACTGAAATATTACGGCTGGAAAAAGGAGACAAGCTTTTAGGCACTTGAGCCCTTTTTCAGGCCTCTGAAGGCGCTAAGGTAACCCTTAAAACTGAGAGAGACAAGCTCCCTAATCAAACAGAGGGAAATGTGGCCCTCTCCTTGTCAGGACTGAATGGAAGGAAGTTTGCTTTCTTTTATGACTTCCAGTCAAAGGCTCTGAAGAAGCAGAGCAACCAAAGTTTACTGTATGCTTAAATACTTGAGGCAAAATACTACCAGAAATGCCATACCCGGAAACAGAATGGTCTTTAAAGATACCTTGCTACAGAAGCTCTGAGAGAAGCCTTGTTTGAAATAACTTGATTCAAGGTAGCTAAGTGCTTTTTATTATCTTGTACAGTGTTCATTCGTTGCTATTGGAGACAGTTGTTCTAGTCTTTCCTTAAGCAGAGTCTTGCTTTAGACAGAATTCTCTCCCTTTTGCCTCCTGGAGCAAAATTTTTATACATATTTTTATGCCACTAAAAGTTTATAGCATATAGCGTCAAAAATGCCCTATGACACACTGGTAAATACAAAAATATGTATTTTTTTCAAGGTAAGTGAATCGCATAATGCATCAGCCCTTCAAATTTTCATAAGTTTATGACTAAATTTATGTGCTTAATTACCACTAGGGTGTTCAGAGCTGTATTTAGGTTTCCTTCTATCATTTGAGTAGAAGGAATAATCAAATCTTATCTTTGCTTCTGCATACAGAAGAGAAGTTAAAGGGTACCATAATTACACACACCTGTATTTGGCTGGTCACATATTCGAGGGCAATAGATGTTTTTATCTCCTTTGGCCAGATAAGAGAACTGCATAATGTTTAGTCATCACTCATCTTGGGGGGATGGGAGGGAAGCAGTCAAAACACCAGGAACTGCTTGATTCTGTTGTATGCCATATATGAACTGCCTCCATATAGCTGTTGAAGTACTAGTAGTTGCTGTTACTTAAAGTTAATTTCCCTTCCTTCATCTAGGTACGTTCTTTTAGGCAACAGAGCAAAGAGAAGCCCTTTAAATTTGATTTTATTGTAGCAAAAGACAAGATAAAATTGGAATTATTCAGCATGTAAAACAATAGAGAAATTTATCTTATTAGCAAAAAGTAATGGTTTTCTATAGCATTGTGTACTTGTTTTTTGGATTCTTAAACTGAGTTCTTTTAGTATTTGTTTAATGTTCTACTGGATTCTAATTTTTGAAATCTACATGGTCCTCTATAATTTAATTTATACGGAGACAGGAAGAAATAAATTTGTTCTAGTCAGTGCGTTGAGGTTTTTTAAAACAACAATTCCAAAGAAATTGCTTTTTTTTTTTTTTTCCTTTAAGGGAGAATTTGTTGCTTGTTTCTCCATAAGAAAAGCCTTTGAAGTCCGTAACTAAACTATTCCCATGATGGAGAGACCCAAAGCTTCTTTTTTCTTTATCTCTAAAAAATAATGCTCGATAGGCATTAACAACTCCCATTTACCATATATGACTTTCTTAAATGCTTATGCTTCAGCATGTCTTGCTTTTTAATACTAATCTTATCTTATTTTTACATTCTCTGCATCCTTTGGGATTTCTAAATGGTGGTCAGAAACTGGACACATGATAAAAGCTGAGTCGTTCATGGTTTTTATGACATTTCAGTCTCTATTTTAGCATGAATAAATTGCATAAATACTGAGATAATTTTTGAAGGCAACCAAAAAATTTCAAGATAACAGCAGCCACAGCCACTTAACTATTGCCACCATCTCCATCACTTTCACTAAAGCGAAACAATTCAAGTCTAGGCAACAATAAAATTATATCATAAAAATTAACTTTATAAACTCAGCAAATGACATATGCCAGACCTCACCCAGTACCATTATGTGTCTTTTCCAAGTTTTGGCTTGGATCTGATCTGCTACGAGGAGATCTGTATGAAAAAAATTCCCATGTCAAACTGCAACTGCTCATTCGCTTTTAAGAACTGCCAATCAGAAAATTTAGCACATTAGCCTTAATATGTGGTGATAACTTAAGAGTAGCCATATTTAGAGCAAAGTGAGGCCATCTAGCCTCTCTCTTTGATAGGGAGTGAAAAATACATGTTTAGGAAAGAAAATAAGAACACAGAAGCAGTACAGTACTTTCCCCAAGTGGCCTCCAGCAGTTGCCAGTCAAAGACTTCCTCAGTTCCTGGGTGTTTAGTAACACTCAATGAATTTCTCTTCCGTGAACTTTTCCAATCTCCTGAGCCCACTCAATTTTTTGTGTCTATAGTTCCTTGTAGGAAGTCAGCCCTAGCTACGTTGTGACATGAAGAATCACCTCTTCTTGTTTGAATCTGGATCCTGCAGTCTCAGCTGAAGTCCCTTGCATCAGGGAAACTGAACACGTAATCCCCAGCCACGCTTTGCAGGCCACTTATTTTATAGACTTGTGTTATATCCCCCTCACTCATCTATTTTCCAGAGAGAAGAGGAATAGACTCATTAGTTGTTCCTTATACAGAAGCTACCTCATACCTGTTGCCTTTCTCTAAGTCCTCTATAGTTCTTCTACGTCCTTTTTAATATAGTGGCCTAAAACACGACACAGCATTCAGAATGTGGACAAAATTAGGATTTATGCAATAACATGATGATATTCTGTATTTTGTTCTCTCGTAACATTGCTAACACCTGATTTACTTTTTCAGCTGCTGGTGAGCTGATGTTTTCATCGAACTATCTTTTAAAATCCCAACATCTTGCCTGATGATAGTCAGTTCAAAGCTCATGGTTTTATATGTGAAGTTAAGGGTTTTTTTCCTCTCATGTGCTTCACTTTATATTTATAAGCTGTCTTATGGTATAGCTGCTTAGTTTTCTCAAAAGCCTTTGGTGAGGGAATTTGTTGAAAGCCTTTTGTAAATCCAAGATCAATCAGATCACCCTTATCCACGTGTTTTTTGATCCCTTCAAAGGACTGCTTTAGGTTTGTGAGGCAGGACTTCCCATTATGAACGCCATTTTAACTCTGCCAGATAAGTCATATTTATCCAGGTGTCCGCTATTTCTTATTACAGTTTCTGCCTGTTTGTTTGGTATAGGTATCAGGTTTACAGGCTTGTTGCTTTCTGAATCTCTCTTGGAACGCTTTTTTTTCTTAATGGCACTGTGTAGCCTCAGGTAACAAGGCAGCTTGAAATGAGAGACAGCTATTTCAGCCTTGAACTCCTTTAAAGCTCTCGTGTGAATACTGTGTGGTCTCGATGGCTTCTTGTTTGTTTTGCTTGCCTCATCTAGGTCACTTGTCTATATAGTTCCCTTTCTTATTATAACACCCATTTGTGATTTTGAACAGTTTTGCTGCCAGAAGATTTACCTAAAATCTAATGTGAATCAAGGAGTGCTGTAGTTCAGTTCAGAAGACATTTCAAAAACGCCAGAAGAAATAAGTTATATGTCCGTATGTCATTCAGCAGTAAAAGAAGAGCAGTCATTTCACCTACAGTTTCCTATAGTAGTATCCTAGGTCAGAGGATTCTTTAAAAATGCAAAAATGTTCAACCCATTTCTTAGTAATGAGGAAAG